TATTATTTCATTAATGATAATTACTATTGATAATGACAAATTATTAAACTGTCGTAGCCAAAAAGAGGCCAAGTAGAGCATCTTATTCAAATTTTGAAAAGAATTAAAATCGTGTACATTACACCCATACACCGCAACACTCGAGTTTCAAAATACGGTTAACTAGCTGTACTGAACTTTCTGTGTAAATAGAGGGCACAATTGAAGATGATAGCGCTCAGAGGAAATTTGATTGGCTGAATCTATGGCAGCCATCTTGGATGGTACACACACACAGCTCTGCGTATTTCGAACATCGAATACATTGCTGTTAGCGCGATGTGTATAAGAGACAGCTAGTATTCTTATTATATCTCTATGGGCCAGACATTGATAAAATACTAAAGAGGGCAGTATATAATAATAATCCTCTGTGACAATGTCAATGTGACAAAATAGATACTGTATATTTCTTGAATGCATGGCGAGTATCACTATCAATAATAAAATAATACATATCGGTACACCATGTGATAATGGTCAGAGCAATTGCACCTAAACATTGAAACAATCAACCTGTGGTTTCATCTCAAAAACCACATGGTATACCAAAGTTTTCATTAAAATAAGTACTATATCATATGAAAAAATAGAGGGCAGTATATTATAATCTTACCGGTATATGACCGTATCAATGTGCAATGTGACAAAATAACTACTGTATCAGTATGAAAGATAGAGGGCAGTACATTATAATATACTATGTGAGTGTCAATGTGGATACATCAATCCAGTGTGACAAAATATACTGCATCAATATAAGACAAAATGTAAAGCACCTGGAGGGATTTGTGATCCATTAGGCGCTCTATAAATACGGTTTTTATTATTATTATTATTATTATTATTATTATTATTATTATTATGATGATGAAAGATAAAGGGCAGTATATTATAGGCTATTGAGATAATGTAGTCATACAATTCATTTGTAACTAGTCGCTGTTGCTAATTTTTGGAATTTCCTTCCTGTTATTGTTAACATAGTGTCTCCTTCCTCCTCAATAGAAAACTTTACAAGTTTTAACACCCTCTACTTTTCTATCTACAGACTTGTTAGTTTTTAATTATCATTACTTGTTTAATAGTCCAAGAAAAGGCTAATGGAAATGTTTGTGTACAGTACCCTGGTTGTGTATAACTGTTGTTACAGCTAATGCAAGCCCAAACAAGGAAATATCAGTCGTCTAAACTCAAGGGTATGCACAGAATTCAAATTATGAAAAGACAGATTATAAAACAGGAAAAACTTCTTTATCAACTATCCTGTCTATACAAAGTTGTTATTTAACCATGCCATGGCGAATAATATGTTTGTTTCCATATCGACGGTCCTGGGTTCAACTCCTATAAATCTCAGGACTCTTTTTTCTCACAACTAAACACACTCTCACTCCCTTAGTCTCAGAATGAGACATACAGTACAGACCATCACTTTCATCCTGGAAGAGATGAGTCATTAGTTGTTGGATGACTGCAAAATAAAATGGAATATCCTATCCAGCCAACTCTAGGAATCAAAACCACTATGTTACTGTATGGTACCTTTAATTAAATCAGCGAATCTCAAAATTTTTGGCCAGCGACCCTCAAATTTATTTGGCGACCCAATTTTGAGTCGCGACCATAGTTTAAGTACCACTGCTTTAAGCTTACATCTTGCTCTACAAGGGCTCCTTGGATGAATGAAATGTAAACGATATATGCTCACTTGGATTTCTAACTACTACTTAGAAGACTAATGCTTAAACTATATAAAACAGTTCCAGCTATATTGTAGTCAAGCTAAAGACGACTGGCAAGCCACAACTTCTAAACTGACCAATGAAAGGTATCGTTTAAAAAGCAGATGAAATTTTAGAAATCTGGTAATGCTGATAAATACTGTATCAAGCATGCGTCTGATGTATCTTCACACAAGATCATCAATCACTTGACTACAATACTAAATATAATATTAGCAGACACATATAATAACACTGGATAAATTAATAGTCACTGAAACTACTTTCTGTTCTTGTTATTATAGTGAAACTAAGGGGCCGCTATCAACATGGGAGTTAATTTCATGCTCAGGAACTGTTGCATACAGTATGACTACCTTGAGTACTATTGTTGCCTTTCGAAAGCTAAATTTGATAAATTTGAATGTTTTTTAATACACATATTGTACATCAGACAGGCTTTATTATCATATTTATTCCTGGAACTGCAGTGTGTGTTACAATACATTTTTCAGTAGTTGGGACATATTTCAATGTCAGCGATTTTCCAGTAGTCTGCACAAAGCATACTATAAAAATTGGCCTGATTCAGTGGAAGTGTGCTGCCTTGTAGTCTCCACTAATAAATTCTACTCAATGAAATTTACCAATGTCTTAATTTACTACATTCATTTTCTTTGACTGATGGAGCACTAAACAAAATCTGTTTAAAATTTATTTGTATTCCATCTTATTATTATCAATCAATCAATCAAGCACACTCCCTTGAACAAGGAGAAATAAATGTTGTTCTGAAGTATGTTTTCAGGCATTTAATTAATTAAAATAAGCAAACATTTAATACTAAATAAACCGTAAACTGGATGTCATATCAACAAGAATTATCAGTTTGATCCTGTGTTTTCCACTTCATTCACCTGTTGAAAGTAGCTCAAGCTAGCGAAAGCTTGTGTCTCAATAAATTTTGTTAGTCTAAAGAAGGTGCTACTGTAATCATTTCATTTGTTTATCAACAAGAGTTTCCTGTATGAATAGACTATGTAGTATAGTATTATTCATAAAACAGGAATATTTAATAAACATGCTATGATCTGATTGACATGCACTATTCTGCAGTAAATAAAGGGTTGTATAATTGATAATGCTTATTTTAAAATATTAGGTAATGAATCTTCCATATAAATTAAATTGAGTGTGCAATAAACAATGATGGAATGACAAAATATATAAGCAAGGAAATGACATTAGCTGGACAGGAACTGCAATCACATTGAACAGTTGACATCATACTATACTATAGTTTAGGAGAGAGGAATGCGGTAATCCAATACCATCGGACCATTAGTTTTGGGTTTAACTGAAGAAACATAAACTATTCTGTAAACATGGATTTCAAACATTTCAATTTTGTGTGAGCTTAAAAAATTACAGTATGTGCTATTTGTAAATTACTGATGATAATCTAAAATTAACTTTAAAAAAGGGTAAAAAATAGTCTGACATACTGCGTGCAGTAGCTCTCATGAGACAGATATTCTAGCCCAAAAGCATAATATCATTTTATCCAGACCTACCATGAAAGTTAAATACCATAAGTCTGCACTAGCTATTGAAAGGATATTC